CAGGAATGTGACAGGAAGGGGAGGGGGAACCAGATAAAAAGGGAAAACAACCCCACTTCCATGTATTCCATCTCTTGGGTCCCCTTCTTCCTAGGGAGAAGTCTTTTCTGCTGTCCTTTAATAAAGCCTCTACTTTCCACTCTGACTTTGCCTCGGCGTRCTTCTCTGGTGTTATTCTTCAACATTGGGGAAGCAAGGACTTGTCACCGGTCAACAGCAGTAACAATTAGAGCCTCAGAAATGGTCATTATCTGGCCAGGGAAGGCCAAAATTGATGAGGCATCACTAAAGTTTCAGAGAGGGCTGCTATCTGGTCAGAGAGCCAGGCATGGGTGAGTTCAAGGCATGGGCAGGCATTCCAAGCAAGTTCCAAATTTGCACTAATTTATAGTAAAACCAAAATGATCTTTTCATGGCTTTGTGGCGAGATGGCTCCTAATTTTAAGAGAAAATCAGGCTGGGTCTATCACTGCTTAAATCAATCTTGGACTCTTGTCTTTTGGGGGTCCCAAATTCGAGCATAACAAGATAAAACATCACATCAACACCAGCAAAGGTTCTGTTAGTACCCATGCTACAGTTTTTGTCAGGTTCTGGAAATAGAAAACTAGCAGWCATGAGTGGGTAAGTAAGGAGTTCATTAACTGTAGCTTACTAGAGGAGAAGAAACTCTGTGRGGCAAGTTAAAGTAAGGGTTCCATGTAGGAGACCCTCACCCTCCTACATTTGGGGTTGAGAGTTTAATCTCCTTGATGTTGATGTTGCATTTCAAAGGGATTGAATCTAGTTCTGAGTGGCTGAAGATTCCAATCTCTAAGAGGCAAAGAAAGGGATTATAAATGCAGCTTTCTACAGCAACTGTCTAAGAGAGGGCTCAAGGACACTTCTGAAGGCTGTGTGTGCCTGTGCAGGGTGTGGGCTAGAAGAGCATCCAAGAGCTTTCTCATTGCTGGCACCTTAAAGTGGGACCACCCCTGGGATGTRGCCTTGAACTGCTAGAAGCCATGGTAGAGCTTGGTCAAGGTGAGTCTCTGCCAACGTCCAGGTAGAAAAACATGGATTTTTTTACTATCTTGTAATTCCCAAGGATTTAGGAGGCACTAATCTGGGGACAATGAGTGAGGCAGAAGCCACATTTTAAATGTCATAGTGAATGCRTGGTAAGTACAAGCAGCCACGTTAGATAAAAGTGAACCAAAACAATATAAGAAGGCTAAAAGTACAGAGCTAGGTAGACAGAATTTTTTTTTGTGTGTGTGTGGTGCTGGGGATTGAACCCAGGGCCTTGTGCATGTGAGGTAAACACTCTACCCACTGGAACACTTGGAACACCTGGTAGATGATGAGATGATGATGATGATGATGATGATGATGATGATGATTTTAATTCTGGCTGACAACAAGGTACCATTCCGGACTCCCCTGACTGATGGAAAACTCATTCCTTGCAAGACTTATGTCTTCTACTATTTTATTTCTCTAGAATCTGACAAATACTGTACAGGGTGGGTATAATGAAGCCCTTTACTCATGATGGCCTGATGCTGTATCTTGCTTTTATTGAGGACTCTGCTGTCCATTGTGGGTAAGTTACGGAGGGCCCCACAGGTGTCATATGGTGGGTTCCCAGCTGTTTGAGAAAAGGAGTGTAGCAAGCGTGAAGCCACTAGGTGGGTGTAAATAGGGAGTGCCATCCTTCCTGATCACAGCTCTCTGCCTCACCTTAATGATTTGGGTCAGGCCACAGAGGGGAATTTAGTCAATGTTTTTGTAGAGGAGAGCAGATGACAGAAGAAGGTTTTCTTAGAAACCTGGAGGAAACATGGCCAGCATAGATCCTGATCCTTCCCCAGCCTGTCCTAGAGGAGAGGGTGACTGTGAAATTGCTCTAAAATCTAGGATACTATTCATGAAATAAAATTCTATATCTTTTTAACCAGTGTGCAAAATATGCCTCCAGGTACTTGACATCTCCCCTGATTTGTTTCAAGAACCAGCTTCCCGAGGCGCACTGAACAGCATGTCTTTTGCAGTATAACTTAAATATTAATGAAGTCCCACCCCATTGTGATACTTGCACGGTGGAGATAATGAAATAGCTGTGGAACATTCCATATATAAAGATGCACCATTTCTACTATAGGTGTTCAGGCCCAGGTTTTTTTCCCCTCAATTTTAATCTTCTTGAAAGCCAAAGAGGKTATGAGTAAGTCTCAGAGCATGTCATTTTATTTTTCTTAGCTCCTCTGTCTTTGGATTTTATACACTAGGAAAGAAAGGCGTAGCCTTCACTGTTGAGAAGTCTCTTTTCTTTTAGAAACCACATTTCTTTGATAGTTCCATTTTTAAAACATATGTTTACTGCAAATAGATTTGGAAAAGACATATAAACAGCCATAATCTCTCCCTACTACCCCCAACCACCCCACCCCAAATAACCGCTTGCAACATTTTGATGGGTTTCCTTCCTGTCTTTGTTTGATTTGCTTCTATCATTCGACCTAGTTCACAGTGTAGAGAGAGAGAGCCCGCTCCTTAAGGTTTTGCTGYGCACCTCAATGGGTTCAACCCATTAACAAGAAAATAATCACGTTTCACACTTGTTTAACTTTTTAAATTTATCAAAGCTCACTGACATCCACCATCTCATTTTGTCATCACGCCAAACAGACCATTTATTAGGAAACCAAGGTCAGTGAGAAAAGATGGGATCTTGTCCCACCCCACATGGCCCAGAAGGGTCCAATTTGACCCAGGATTTGAGATCCATAGATTCCTTATCTAGAGATTTCCACCTACAGTAATTTTTATTTTTCTCTCCAATTAAAGTCTRTATATCTGAGCACAGAAATTCTGTTTGAGAGCGAGGACTTGCACTTCCTGTGGTTTATTTTTGCTCCATAGAGTGCATTTGTGTTGAGTGTGCCTTCTGAGCCCCCAGCCTGGGAACTTTGCCCCATCACATGCACAAAGCCGTTTGCTCCCCAGACACCCGTTTCCTCTGTCACTAGAACAGTGGGGCTGGGTCCCTAGCAACAGGCATCTGGGGCACCCAGTTGCCTCTTCAGTTCTTCTGCCAGCACAAGAAACTTGCTGCCCACCATCTGCCTAAGTACCTGCTTCAGCCACCTTGTACGTATCCATTGCTGCACTGTAGCTAAGGCAGCGAGGTTCTGCCGGATGCTTGGACCACAGAGAGCTTTTCATCTAAGGGGTGTTTTGACCACCTGGCTGTGCTCACCTTCCTCTCTGGGCCTGGCTAGATTGCTTTGCTCTGAAAAGAAGCCCCATATTTACCAGGACTTTTAATTTGTTAATTTAAAAGCCTCTTTACCTATAACCCTTTCTCCTCCCCATTCTAACACTTTCTGAAAGCCTCTAAGATTAGGCAGACTTAATAATTAGATGAAATTCAGGACTTCGTGGAAAGGATTTTAGAGAGTGAGATTGAGGGTGGCTACAAGGGCTTTAGACAAAGGAAGAAAGGGAGAAAAGGAGACATGGGAGAGATCATTGGAAACTCAGGAATTTCTGAGCTGGACATTTTAACAAAAAGCTTCACTATTCAATGAATGATGGAGCTGTGAAATTTAACAGCTGATTATTGATTTTTGGAATATGTCACCCCAACACTTTGAGGCTCACACTTCTTCAGCTAGAAATGCTTGACAGCTTTATTTTCAAATACCAAAGACTATTTTTAAAATCAAAATGTCTTTTCACATAGAATTCTTATAATTTTTTCTGAAAAAAAAAAAAAACACAACACATTGTGGTCCATCTCTTCCTTGCACAGTCATAGCCGGTCAATTGCCTGGATCCCCACTCTGTCCCYGTGGCCAGTCCTTGGCAGTTCTGACCTGGGACTATATTATATCATTTCTGTCAAGGTTCTTATACCACTTACTTCTGGATTTTTGTTCTGTTTTCTCTTCATCTATTTGAGACCCAGTGGAGAACTTACACACCAGTGAGAAAAACAAGATACCTGCTGTTGAAGGATTAGTGGGTGAACCAGTCCAGGTGGCCCAAATGGTTGCTTCTCTTTTCTCCTTGCCCAGGCTTAGATCACCTCGCACAAGTGGGGTGTCTGCCACCCCTCGACGACTGTCATTGAATCTTTATCCAGCCTCCCTCTCTGAACCTCACCTGGACTACTCTTCAGAAAAGCATGGTTGAAGCCACATTTGGATGCTGTGGTGAGCCAGCTAGTCAACCCACCTTAACCYGTCACAGACAGTGGTCCCCTGAGCACCGCCAGATATTTAGACAAGAGCCAAGCCACCAAACCACCCTTTCTGCTCCAAAGTAGCTGATATTTTTTGGTGAACTTGGTATTTTGTTCTATTTGGTCAAAATTGAAATCCATGCTTTCCAATTAGCTTTCTGTTTATCATCCCTAGAGAACTCATCTCATAATATATGTGAAAGATTAAAAATTTCATCTTATCTTTTGGTGCCAACTAGTTTCAAATTTCGCTTCCCTTAACCGATGGACTCACGTCTGTTCTTTGGTTTCAGATCTATCTGCTGCTCTCCCRGTGGGAACAGTCCTCCTCCATAAGTGGAAGAAAACCCAGGATCCTTGGGTTCCCATGAAGCTGTTCACACAGCCCCCGCTTATCTACCAAATTTAAGTTTATCAAAGCACACTGACATCCATCGTCTCATTTGGTGAGATGAATTGGTGGTGTCCTACCTGAGCTCATTTTCAACCCTGAACCCCTTCCTGCGGGCCAGCTCCATGAAGAAGGCTCTGCGGGTGGTACCCATTTTCTTCTCCAAAATGAAGAGGACCAGATCTCGAAATCTGATGTCATGAGGAGTGGAGGTCACGGAGGCCCCAGTCTGCCTGGGTCTCTTCTTCCGGGGACTCAAGTGGGCGGTTGGCAGTGGATCCATGGGGAGAGACTGTTGTGCCCCTGGCTATGATGTCTCCAGAGTGATACCTCCAGAAGTGAGGGGGAAGAAGCCCTCCTGCATGAGGGCTCTGATGTCATCGCACTGGCAGATTCTGCAGGAGGGCAAGGCTTTGTGGGCACTGCCCCGGTAACAGCTTCCTGCTGAAGGAATTTCTATCTCTGTTMAGTTTCTTCATCTTAACTCTTGTTTCCTTATGCATAATCTCATTAGATCCTCAGAATAGAAAAACCATGGGAAGAAGGCAGGGAAGCACCCTTGTTGGCATATTACTTACTCATATCTGAATGGGTTGGGGGCCTTCTGTTGTCTTCATTTATTGATCTTTTGAATTCCCAACTCACTTGCTTTCTCTTCTTCTCAAAAACAGTCATTACTGCAGTCTGCATGTGTGTTACATGTTGCATGTGCTTGCTTTGATTTTACATAAAGGACATGGCTACATTTCTTACTCTGCTTGTCACCCAGAATTTCTTTTCAGATATGTGTTCTACTCTGCTGCTTCTGCTTGCTCCACGGTGCTTTGTGGTGGGCATCGACCACATGTTCACTTATGTGGGTGCATTTTATAAGTAAGGAAACCAAGGCTCAGATAAATACAAGATCACAGAATAAGGGGCTAAACAAGGTCATGAATTCAGTTCTTCTGACTTCAAGTACAGTTTTTGCAATGGACTGAGGTTGTCCAGAGAGTAGTCTATTATAAAACTCTAAAATAGTTATATAATCTATCTTTTGAAATAAGCTGTGACTTCAGCTAATAATCACTTTCACCAAGAATCACTGCCATAAAAAGACATTTTCATTACTTTCTAGGCAAAATGAAGTTTGTGACTTTCATCCATACACTTGATCTCATTTCCTGAGCACCTACTATGTGGATAAGCACCTACCACATTTTGCTGACTAAATCCTTACAGAGCTACTGTCATGTAGGTATGGCCATCCTAATTTGTTTTTTGATGAGGACTACAGAGTTCATAAATGGAGACAACTAAGAAATAATTGAGCCAGGATAATTAAGATTATCTAATGAAGAAAATACATTCTTTACTACCAGGAAGCCTTCCTGCACACAGGTCTACCCCKGTAACAAACCAGAGCTCTGCCCACCTTCCCTGCCATAGTACTTAGGACTTTGACTACCTCCAAAAGCACCTGAACACCTCACCATGACACCAGGGAAGGAATGATGGAGCCACCTTCATGCATCTGCAAAGCTCTCCTTGTTGCTCAGGAAAGCAAACTTGGAAATATTCAGCTGGAGGTTGTAGAGTAATAGATTTCAGCTCTGCAAATAAGAAGTTTTTAATAACTACAGCTGTCAAAAATCTAGGGAGCTGCTGTGTATGTGGTATGTTAGAGAAGTGTTCAAGCAGATGCTGGACAACTCTTTATTGAAATATTACAGAAGGAATTAAAACATCTGGAAGGGTCTTTAATGCAGCTCTGAGATTCCAGAATACTAGGATTGTTTGCTCAAGATCAACATTTGGAGAAGAATGAGATTCCAGAATACTAGGATTGTTTGCTCAAGATCAACATTTGGAGCCCAGTTTGCTAGGTGTTTGGTTACTGAGGTGATGAAGGCTTTATGTCAGAAGCAGTCCTAGCTACCAGGTGGTCTCACAGCATGGAGAAAGCAAAGTAGTCTAGCCAGAGTCTAGGGTGGTTGTGTTCATCCCCAGGGTGCAGCCTTGGACTGGTAAAGGTGTGCCACCCAAACAGTATAGGGACGGGGCAATAGTAGAGAGTTGTACATAGGAGTTCAGGCAATGACGTCAGACTGKCCATAAAAATTCCACTTCCACTATTTGGAAGCTATGACCTTGAGCAGGTTACTTCTTTAAGTCTCAMATTTCTCTAGCTGTAAAAGGAGGGCTGAAATAGCCATCTAACCTTCTAGGCAGAGTGTTTGACACAGAGGAAGCATTTTAAATACATGTCACCAGCAATTTGTGTTTTGTTTTTAAAGCTGTGTCCTAGTTCAATCTGAAATCTGAGCTATATGTTTTATAAAACTATTGAATCATCAAAATAATATCACATTAACCRGTCATGATTCATGTTTTGAATCACTTATATTGAAAAGATTACCAACAATATTTATTTATTTATTGTTACCAGGGATTGAACCCAGAGGCACTTAACCACTGAGCCACATTCCCAGCCGTGTTTTTGKTTTTTTTTTAATATTGTATTTAGAGATGGGGTCTAGCTGAGTTGCATAGGACCTCACTAAGTTGCTGAGGCTGGCTTTGAACTCATGATACTACTATCTTGGCMTCCTGAGCTACCAACAAAACTTTTAAATGTGATGATGACTGTGTGGTTTCTCTGACAGGTTCCACCAGGATGGAGCCAGAACTGGGTAGATCCTATTTCTCTTTTGTCAGCTGAGTGCGTCAGGCTGAGCCAATAGAGGGCACTAGAGGGAGGCTGCAAGTGGGGAGAGTTGGAGAAGGAATTGGTGCTTGTGTTTGTTTGTTGCTGCTCTCAGGGTCTTCTAGGAACAGCTCTTCTGGCCTAGTAATTGGTAAAAGCTTCCGAATCTGGCACAACCAGATCCAGCTTCTTTACAGCCTTCCAAGGTACCAACACCAGCCTGGCAACATCTCTTTCTCATGATGGAAGGCCCAGCTCAGCAGGGATTTGCCTGTTAATGTGSATGATGCCCACAGCAGCAGGCAGCATCCCCTTTTCAGAAGTCTGTGATTCAGCTCCAGGGGGACCCTGCTCCACACTGCCAGTTTTCAACAACCCCAGCTACATCCCTTTGTTGTCCCAACCCTAGGAATGGGACATGCTTCCTGAAGTCACTCTTTTTGAGTGTCCTCTTTTTGCTTCTTTTCAGCTTTCAGAGGCCCAAATCTAGTTCTCTCTGTTGGAATCCCATGCTATGCTTTTCATTTTCCTAACTGGACCTGGACTGATATAATGTCCAATGGAAGTGAGAGTGTAGAAAATGGGGACTCACTTATGAGTGCTGTTGGAGGCACAGTCTTTCTAAAGAGAAATCTGACCTCAGTGTGAAAAAATCTTTAAGATGTCCAAATTGAGGGCAACCTGACATTTCCTTTTTTTTTTTTTTCAGGAGACAGACATGTAAAAATATTTGTCCCTAGATATTTGCCACATTACCTGTACAAAGAAGACTTAGAAACAGCATGAGCATCTAGTAGTAGGAGATTGATAGACTTGGTGGAGCAGTATGCAGCCACCTAAATCATCCAACTGAGACTATTAAACAACATGGGTAAATGCTCATAATATAATATTTGTACAATCAGCCTACATAGTGATAACTGTATGATACTGACTTTGACAAAGAAGACTAGAGAGACACACGCAAGCTGAACATTAAATTAGTGGATTTCATACATTGTTGTGTTTATTCATCATTTTTTTTGTCTGCATGCTTTTCAGTGTTTTACAAATTTTCTACAATAAACACGAATCATGCTTGTAATCACAAAGCAATTTAGTTAAAAAAAAAAAAAAAAGATTTCCATGAGTTTACACCATGTRGCCTTAGTGAAGAGTTATGATTCAAAGGCAGTCAGGTTGTCCCAAGTAAGCTAAAGAGTAGTTGACCGTGTTTCCTGGTCCCCTAGCCTATGAGGCTGAAGGACAAACACCCTTGTATTCCATGTGACAGGCACGTCTTCTGGGCCATTGGCCACTGAAACAGGACACCACTGCTGGAGAAAACAGGGGATTTGTTTCCACCTGCCTTTGATAATTTACTGAAACTGGCTCTCTGAGGATGGAGTTTGTGCCTTCTGATTCCATTTTTCTTCCTCAGAGGGTTCTTTCCAATGGCATCATCAAGTGACCCATGCTAGGATCACATTTAGGACAGTGGAAGCCATTGTGCTCTGGTTTGTCCCTTCCAAAACACATTAAAATTTGGTTGCCATTGTGGTGGCATTGGGTGGCTTCCTTTAAGAGGATGAATGCCTTCCTCGTGGGAGTGAGTACTCACTGTTATGGGATGGATCAGTTGACCCAGGAGTGGAGCCKTCCTCCATGTTTGTTCCTTCCACACAGATCCACGTGCCCTTTTGCTTTCCACTGTGGGTTGAGGCAGCACAAGCCCCATGCTTTTGAATTTCCCAACCTTCAGAACTGGGAATCCAAGTAAACTTCTTTTCTTATAAATGACCCARTCTTGGGTATTTTGTTCTAGAAACAGAAAATGGACTAACAAGTGGTCATGGCTCCATGAAGGGAGTTGTGAAATGCCTCAGCACCACCTTAAAATTAGGTCTGAGGACACCAAAGTCTCTTTGTCATTTCAGGGATTATATTATATCATGCTATTGAAGTGCCTTGAAAATTAGGAAACACGGTACCAAGGTCAGTTGTTCTTATTATYCTCATTGGCATTGCTGCCAATGGCGGAATTAATTCCATCTTACTATACCATGATTTTCTGGAGATACTTGCATCAAATGTGGAACACCTCCTCACTCCAGCAGATTGCTCAATAATTCCCAAGCACCTGGCGTCAGCCTAACACCTCCAAAGTTTGTTTTCCTTTCATGCTACTTATTGATGGAGGGCTCAGCTCCATTGGAGACTCAGCTGATGGAGGCTTTGCACGTTTGGGTCTGCAGCATCTGGGCTATGAAGCCACSTCAACCACTGCAGCAGAGAAGACAGCACTGGGGATCTTGCATCAAGAGTAAATGCTTTGGGCTGGGGATGTGGCTCAAGCGGTAGCRCGCTCGYCTGGCATGCKTGCGGCCCRGGTTSGATCCTCAGCACCACATACAAACAGAGATGTTGTGTCCGCCGAAAACTAAAAAAAAAAAWWAAWWWTWAAAAAAAAAAGAGTAAATGCTTTGCCCTGGAAATGATATACATTACTGGTGCTCATAGACCATTAGCCAAAAATAGTCATCCAGCCCCTCCTAACAGCAGCAAGCATGGGAAATGCAGGGAAAAATGGGATTAGGGGGAGCATTCCTGTTCCTACC